TTAAAACTATTTTTTGAAAATACCTTTGGAAGAAAAGGCTGCAAGAGTTGTCTAATACAGAGATGTTCAATAAATTGGGGTACTGAGGCTTTTGATAACTTAGTACCTTCATCTCAGTATTTAATGGGACTTGTCTTGGATTTTTTTTTTTTTTTCCTGGAAGGAAATTATTGAGCCTAAGAAAAGTCACACCACACCCAAACTAATAATTGCAGAGTTTATTTGGGTTGGCACCCTTAACTGATAACATGTTTCACGGAAACAGGAAACAGCTTTCCTATACCGCATAATGACATTTTTGTCAGTGATGAACCACAGATACGACAGTTACCCTGTAAGACATAACGGAGCTGAAACATTCCTGTCACCTGGAGATGCAGCCGTTGTAACAACGTGATCCATTATGTGTGCTTGTGGTGATGCTGCTGTAAAGAAACCTGCGCTACCAGCCATATAAATGGGCGGCACGTACACTATGTATAGTACATGATGCTTGATAATGATAGTAAGTGTCTGTGTTACTGGTCCATGGATTCATTCCATATACTTTCTATCACTATTTTAGACTATACTTCTTATTACTAAAAATGTTTCCTAAACAGTATGCCATATTGTGTAGGCAGCTGCCTCCTACGTCTCGTATTTATTGACTTGATTAATTTCTTGTGCTTTGTTCACATGGCTTATTTAATTCTTTGTGTTTTGTTCACATGGCTTTAGAAGCAATGGGCTATACCATATATACGTATGGACCATTTATATACATAATATATGTATGCACACATATGCATACACATTATGTATAGGGTGTGTGTATATACACACACACCACATAACCTATATGTATAATAGGCTATACCATTTGAATTCATTTAAATCTACTCTGTGACAATTCCACAGTGATAAAATAGCTTAGTGATCCATTTCTCAGGATAAATCCCGCCGTTACCCATGACCGTAAGAGGAACTATTGCAGGTAAGGGAATTTTAATGTACCAGTAGAAAAATGGACAGAGGTCATCAGTCAGTATAACATTCACCAAAAAAGTACAGATGGCTATGGGAAAATGAATGCACCTTCAGGCCATAATGTTGAGCAAAATCAGATACACAGTTTAAATACTACATTGTTTCTCTCCTATGAAAAACCCAAAGTATAAATAAAGAGCAAAATAAAAGATAATGGGAAACAGGGAGCTAGAGCTTTTGGAGCTGGTGAGAGGACCACAGATGGGGTGGGGGAGGGAAAGGGAACGTGAAAAGAACTCAGATGCGCACATGAGCCAAGTACCCACAGGAGTGTAACCATGTAAACATACACCGAGAAAAAGAAATTCAAAAGTACAAATGGCTAATGTAAGTTATTTGTGAAATGGGGTGGGGGCAGTTGCCTAACTTTATCAAAGCACTCTTTTAAAGATGATTTTCAGCGCAGGAAAGTGAAATGAGACTCCTGCGCTGCTGGTGGAAGACGAAGTTGGCACATTTCTATGCAGGAAGGGCCTGGCCTCGAACGTTCGAGCTGCGAACTTGCACACAGACAGACCGACCTTGTGCCGCGAACGTTTGATGTGAATCATGGCAGCGGCTCTTGCGTGCCGCATTTTGCCCCGGCTGTGCTGCCGCGTGTTCACGGCGGCACAGCGGTGAGAGGGCCGCGTGTTCGCTGCGTGACGGCACGGGGGTGCAGTGCCCGGTCGGAGCGCAGGGTGTCCGGAAGCGGGAGGAGAAGCAGCGGTGCCGGGGAGGGGACGTGAGCACGCTAAGCGATCCGCGTTGTACGTTTGTGTCAGCGGTGTGTGAGACACTGTCGGGCTTACGAACGTTCTCCCAGGACAGAACTCGTTCATTGTAGCAATCTAGCAGTGCTTGTATTTGAAACCTCAAAAATGTGCATACCCATAGCTTTTGACACAGCGAGCCCCCTTAGAGAATGTACCCTTGCTGTGGTCTAGATTGAAATGACCCCAGGAGCACCTGCACTCACAGGTGGGACAGTTTTGGAATGTGATGGGGCTACGGGGTCGCTGTAGCTGACTTCCTGTTGGCGGCAGTCCCTGGCGGCTGGACTTGAAGGGGCGTCTTCCCGCGGGGTCCTCTCCTCTGCCCACCGCGGCCGCGCGACGGGCAGCTTTCCTGGGCCAGACCCTCCCGTGCCGCTTCCGCCTGAGCCACCGCCTGTGAGGACTGAAATTCCTCAAATGCGGGCCAGACCGCCTCTCCTTTAAACTGTGCGCATTTGTCCCAGGGATAAGGAAAGTGGCTGAGACAATCCTGAAGAAATGATAAAACATTTGGTCAGATATTTACAAACAACACTGTGCGTTGTATCAGTCAGGGTTTACTAGAGGAACAGATATAATACAAGATAAAC